CATCCCAAGTAGAACTGCACAACGTGGCGCAGGCAATTGGAAGCCATATAGCTCAGGGGCCGCGCCGCGGTGCCAGCGCGCATTCTGGCCCGCCGCCCTTCGCCGCGGGCAACGGCTGCCCATCGCAGCAAAATCTGGACGTCGCGACGGCGCTGCCTCCGAAGCAGTCTTTGCGAATTCAGCTGCCCAACCGCACGCATGGCACAGGGATCGCCCGCGGAAGCCGTGCGCTCTTGGACACGTCGATTGGAAAATTGATCATCTCTTTAGGGCCCGTGACTGACTTACAATCGCCCATCCCGCCAGCCTGATGCGAGTCTCTGATCCGCGAGCCGGCTCCAAAGCGATCGGCGCGGCAGGCACAGGATGGAAACGCGCGAGACTTCCAGCGAGCGCGGGCAGCTGACCGCCCAACCCGGGGGGGCTCGCCTGGGCGCCCCGTTGAAATCTCGCCCGGGCGCCCTGCAACATGTCCTTTCCTTTTCACAGCCTGAGGGAGCCGTTTGAACCACATCGTTTGCAACGTAGCGGTGAAACACGGGTGCCCCACGCTGCGTCGTCCTGCCCGTGCGTCGTGCTGGCGCGCTCGATGTGCGAGCGCGCGTGGTGCCCTCGTTGGTTTGAGTCAGCGCGTCCTGTCTTCTCTTGATATCATCCTTGATGCGCGCCGCGTTGCTGATTGTCGCGCCGCACTGCTGCTTGCACGTGCTTGCCGTGCCCCCCGCGCATGCTATCTTCTTCTCTACGTGCTCTCACGTGGTCCGTTGATGCCCTTACCCCGCGGCGCCCCTTTCTCAGCTGCGCAGCCTCCGCATTGCAACTGGCGCCGGCGGCCACACTGCGCGTCCACGGACGCGCCCGCAGCGCGGGGAAGGGCGGGTCCAGCCATGGACGCCCCCGGCCTGCATGCACGGCGAAGTCATTGCGCGACTTGATATTGCTCTGGCTTGGCTCAGAGGCCTAGAACTGCCCGCGCTCGCCTAGGACTACGAAGCCCTGTTAGCGGCCTGCCCCTTCGTTCCCCCTCCCCTCTCGCACTGCCACGGCGGGGCGGCTACTCCGCTCGCGGCTCCGGCGCCCGCGCCCTCGACGCTGGTGCGACGGGAGGTCGCGCCCTCACAAGCGCGCGCAGGCTTGCTTCAGCTGCCCCGGCGACGCGCCCCCCGCTCGTCGGGGACACCCTCGCGGGGGGCGCCGACCCGGCGCGCCCAGCAGCAGGGCCGGGATCTCATAACCCCGCCCACCTTGCGCCGCTAAACCCCGGGCGCCCAGGCATTTATGTTCCTCTATTTCTCCGCGGGGCGCAGCCAGGCGCGCGGGGCGCCCTCGCCGGCGGCGCCTCCCAGCGGGTGGGGGGCGACGCGCCGCCCCGAGGCGCGGCGCGCGGGAGCGGGCGGGCCCGACCTTCAACGGCCCAGGCCCTCACACGCACGGGGGGCGCAGACGGCGGGGGGGCAGGAGGAAAGAAGGGAGGAGGCGGCAGTGAGAGGAGACAGGGCAGAGGCGGGGGGGCAGGGAGGGAAGGAGGGATGGAGGGGCGAGAGAGGCACGGGAGGATTCAAACCCCCAGCCTCCGTAGGTGCGAGCAGCGTAAGAAACCATCGAACAAAATTGAAAGCCGCATCTAAATTTCAAGTATGGGAAACAAGACATGCTACCTCCGTAATCCGTATCAAATGAAGGAACGGATCACGCGTGAGAGGCATCAAATACCCGCCCCTGAGAGACATGGGATAAGCAAGATAGAATGTGCGATTTCATATCGGAGACGCTTCCGCACCCTCGACTCGCCTACAGGCAGCAGCAACAACAACAACGCAACATGATTCAACCGGATTAGAAGCACGTTGGCTCCTTGTGACATGATTTCAAAGACACGCGCAAACATGCATGCGGAGCTGCACCCGGAGAACAGAGAATCCCATTGGCAATCGTACGTTCTGCATCCAAGATCACACAAGTGGCACCAAATTGCATCACATATTCGGCTGCACGCGAGAAAGGAGAGAGAGAGAGAGAGAGAGAGAGAAAAAAAAAAAAAAAAAAAAAAAAAAAAAAAAAAAAAAAAAAAAAAAAAAAAAAAAAAAAAAAAAAAAAAAAAAAAAAAAAAAAAAACGAGATGCTGGATTGAAGAGGGGGGTCCCAGGCCGCATGGGTTGCGAGAGCACTGCGCCTGATGCCGGCGACGCGCCAGGCGACCATTGTGATGACGATCGGTACAATACCAAACCGTTCAAAACAAGCAAAAAAGCACTGGCCATAATATAAGACACACGAATTCGTCCGCAAGCAAACATGAAATGACTCTGAGACACGAGAAGCCGAAACCGGCGGGACGCCTGAAGATCGTTGGCTGCTCCGGGGCGGTTCCGAAGGGCAGCGGCGCGACGTCCCAGCGCCCCCTCCGAGCCGAACCGCCCTACTCGCCCCGCCACAGGGCGCCCTGAACACATCTAATAGGGTGCTACCGCGCCTGGGCCCACACTCGACTGCGCCAGCAGCTCCCGGAAGCTGCATGGCTCACCCGTCTCGGGGCCGCCGCCTCGGCACCTGGCGGCCCGTGCACGGCGAGGGCTGGGCCGAAGAAGCCTATGATGAGCTCAATCCGCGACTCGAAGATTGGCTTTTTCGCCTTGACCGCCACCACACGCTTCCTGGATTGGACGTCGAAAGTCATGCTCTCTGGGCTCGGGAGCAGGCGCGAGGTAACCGCGATTCTCGGCTGCTCCCCCGACCCCTGGGTCTCGGCGCACGGCGGGGCGACGCCTTCCTGTCTGGCCTTGTTGACGACGTGTTCTTAGAGTGTCGCCTCCACGCTGTCGCCCATGTTGTATCTGGATGTGGTGCCGTAATTGTCGTGCTTCCGGGTGCGCCCTTGCCCCCGGGCGCGGCGTTGCTGGCGGGCCCCCATGTCTCGCGACTGGGTCCGAGGTCGGCTTCTTGGGGGGCCGTCGGGGTATTTCTGCGCAAGGAGATTGTCTCGCTCCTCCGCCGCTCCCTGATTTGTCCCTGACCGCGCCCAAAAGTTGGAGTTCTGGAGCGCCCCACCCTGCCCCGAACGGCGATGTGGCGACGTGGGCGAATTTGCTTATTCCGTCGAAGTGGTCCGCGCGCGCCATCTGGACACGCGCGTTTTGACATGTGGCGATGGTAACGTCCACCTGTCCTATGTCTTGCAGCATCCACCTGAATGTGCTTGCCCTCACTGCCGCCAGTTGGCGCAAGACTGCACGATCGAAACTATGCTCACCGCGGCTGGCTGAGGGGCGTGCAACCCGCCAATTGCCACGCATGGCTCGGGCACGCGCGTTGACCTAATCCTCTCCGAGCGCCACTGTATCATTCCCGTGGCCGTCGCCCTTGCGAGCGGCGTGGATTCAGACAATCGGTTGGTCGCGCGTTCGTTCCACTGCGATTTTCATCCACCACAGCTGTCAGGGATGCGCCGCGTGGAGTGGCGCACGGATGGCCAGTGAGACGATGCGTTGCTCGCAGCGGCGCCTGTCCTGGCGCACCTGGCAGACGCGAGTGGGCCCTCATTGCGCGCGAGTGGCTGCGCCCTCCGCGAAGCGGGGGGGGCGCCACTATGAAGCAGCGTCGCCCTTTATTGGACGCGGCCGCTTGGGCGCACGACGCGATTTACGCGCCGGCATGGTTTGCGGCGGGGGCGACCAAGGCATCCGCGGCAGCCCCCGCGCGCCCGAGTAGGCCCCCGCTTGCCCCAGACGCGCATGAATCGCAGGCTGCTTTTCAAATGGCTGTTGGGCAGGCCGCGTGGGCCGAGGGCCACATGGGGTTCCAGAGTTTCTCGGACCTTCGCACCGTTTCCCCTGGTTTGGCCGAGCGATTTCTTTCGAGACTCCTTCGGTCGCGCAACCTCTTTGAAATTACGTTGGCCGGCCCGGCTGATGGGCACCATCTCAATGTGGAGGAAGTGCTTGTGGCTCTGCAGACTGATATGATGGACCGCGCGCGCAATGAGTTCCCCGTGGATCCTGTTGAGCAGCGTGCACCAGCCTGCGCGGCATCGGCTATCCGATCGGTTGGCGCTGGCCCTGCTGCTCCTGGCGCTGCCCTGTACTCGAAATCTGCGGTTTATGCAATCTTGGATGGCTTGAAAACCACCTCCGAGCCCCCCGGGTGTTTCGCAGCTGTCCGTTCGGCGGTGCCAGAGGGCCGCCGGGTCACCCTTGCCCTTGCCAACCTGTCGCGGCAGTGCGCCATTGCGAGCACCCTGTGGTCGAGCTGTCAGATGGCTCCCCTCCATAAGTCAAAACCCCGCGTCGTCTGGTCCACTTTCTGCTTACGGCCAATTTCAATCTCGGCGGCCGTGGCATCTGTCGTGGATGGATTGCGGACGTTTCGCAACGCCCCCCTGTTGCAAACAGATTGCGGGGTGGCCCAGCAGGGCAGGGTGGGTGACCCCATCTCTCCTCTCCTTGCTCTCTTCCTTCATGCCCAGCTTCGCTGCGCCCAGGGACTGCCCACAAACTGGGCGGCCACTGATCTTCAATGTGCGCTCGACGTCGCCTCCCACCCCGCGATGCTCGTTAACGCCTACAAAGCAGGCGCCCGTGGCCACGATTGGCTCCTCCGCGCCGATTTCATGTCGTCTGACAAACAATACGTTG